CCCCAAAACCCCAAAACCCCAAAACCCCAAAACCCCTTGAGATAAGATTAACTTTTATATTGGCAATCTCTCACTAAAACTAAATTAATAATTCTTTAATAATGTAGCTTAAAATATATAATTTTATTAAAGTCAGATTATTTTCTTTTTTTAATTTCATTGCATTATAAATTTGATTCGCGGTTACTAATTATAATAGAATTTAATCAACTGTCTAAACAAACTGAATCATCTAAAAATGAATAGTGAGAATTACGGAATAAAGAGAAACATATAAAGCAACTTAAGAATAAGAGTACTAAGCAGGAAGAGATAGCATTCCTGCAAAGTGCAAGGATTACCAGAAATAAAAGGCAAATCTACTTTCTACCAAAATAAAAAAGACATCAAGCCATAATTTAATTCACTACTAGCTGAACCATTTTAAAATGCTGCGACAGTTTCATCAATCAATGCACAAAAGAAATAGATTAGTAGAAGAGATGATCATATTTAAGATAGAATACTGGATATATATGAGTATAGGGAAAAAGTTGAAAAGTAATATAGTTAAAATGGTTCAATAGATTCATAATAAAAAGAAGCTTTAAAGATTGGAGAGCTCCTCCGTCTTAAAATGCAAACAAATTATCTCAGTTAAAAAAATAATAAGACTCTAAGAAAAAATTAGATTTAGAGCGGATGTTAAAGTTCTGTTTCTTCAATTTTTTCTAAAAGAACTAGCAATTCAAGTTTAATCTCTGCATAGTTACAAGTGTAACAAGCGGCATAATCTTGGGATGGTAAACTGAATTATAAAATTAATACAAAATAGCAAGAGTCTAAGAAAGAAATAATTTACTCGGATGGAAGCTAGCAAGGAGATATTGAAGATAATTATTATGGATATCATGGATTAAGTATGGCTAACAGAATTAAAATGGTTGATTGGATGCTACAAGTCTTAAGGGTATTATAATCCAAATCTCTCAAAACTCTAATTCAGGCAGTGAATATGATGGATAAATATTATAAAGTTAAAGCAGAATAAGGAGAGATGCAGCCAATTTATGAGTTTCATTTAATTGGCTTGGTCTGTCTGTTTATTAGTTCTAAATTCGAAGAGGTAAAGAACATCACTCTGAAAGAAATTGTGAATGATGCAGGACACAAGAAATACAGCAAATTCTAAATTCTAGAAAAGGAATAAGATGTACTAATGACATTATAATTTAGAATAATAATAATGGATGATCTATTTGAAGAGTCAAATAGGATCTTAGAGTAATGTTTCGATCATTCTAAAATATATTCCAAGAGTAATGAGGAGTAAAATAAATTAAGGGATACCGTTAATTTCCTTTCCTAGCTTGTTCCTCACTGTTTAGACTTATTTCATTAGGATATAAAAAGCCTAAGTATGATGATGGTTTACATTGCAGTTAAGCTAAGAAAATATACAATAACTTAGTTCATTTATGAAAATATACATGGAGGCAATCTCATTGTTACAGATACGATTAAGATAAGAAGCTTGAAAATGGCTGAAGATTTTTATAAATTCGTAAAGAATGAAATGTTTTTAATGAAATCATCAATAGCTGAGGGCTCTAAAACCATTTATTTAAAATAGTTTGCTGATTTATACGAGTAGATAGCTTATGGTTAACCTGCTAGAAAAAATCTTAGAAAAAATTAGGCAGCCTACTTCAATGATATCACATAAGAATTCTTCTAGCACATCTCAAATAAATATTCAGATTGAAAGATTAAGAGGAAATTCTAATTGAAATTTTTATAATTTACGGATCTGCTATTAAATATTTGTCACTCCTCGACTACATGCTTAGTAATAAAAATGATATTTCTTAATTTGATTATTTCTAACATTTATAAGTGTAATAAATTCTTTAAGAGGGGTTTTGGGGTTTTGGGG